TATTCCCGAAATCAATAACTTATCGACTTCGGCAAATTTTTTTAGGGTGTCCCAGAATTTATGAAAACAGCTGTAATGAAATGTCAGGTTCCATGAGGGAGTGATCGGGTTGCGAATATGGTTCACTTCTCACAGCCGAATTGAAAGCTATTGTGTCACGTATATGACGGTAACCGAAGTAAAAGCGATGATCAAAAGCTTAAAATAACTATAGAATAATAACAATAATAGAGTAAATAAACTATGTAGTTAGTAATAGCGTCATTATCAGAGTATTGAACGTAAGGATATAAATAAGAAATATAAAGGTAGTAGTCTTAGCTTAGAATAGATTAGTTTAGTTAGAGATTTGCATATTTTGGATAAAGAGAATAATAAATATTATAGTCAATAACATTTTAAATAAATAATCGAGTGTTCGTTAGATCCATATCTGGTTAGATTTCGGTGCTAAACTGCTAGTATCGCTTAACCCGTGACATATTGGCGTAAGTAATTTACTCCTTCTATTTTATTTATATACTTGTCTCAATCCCGTCCGGGGTTGGTACTTGCATTATTTGGAAGTTAATTCGAATCATGCACACTTGTGTTGGAACCTGTGCATTTAAGCCATATTTGAGATTAGAATCTTTTGTGATTCTTTATTTTTATCGTCTAAGCTCGTGACTGAGCTACTGGATGGGCCTCATGACTGAGGAGTTTGTACCCGCTTAGCCACTTTTCGATCTGTTGACTGTGTATACGTACGTACATACGTCAACTCGAAGTACTGTATTATTGACATCGTAATACTACAGATCCAATCTATGATTTATACTAATACTATATTTAGCAAATCATTAATGCATAAGATGCATATAATTTTTAAAGCAATCAATTATACAGTACGTATCTCATTGTTAATTGTTACTTTCGAATTGATACATAGCACCATGTTTTACGTTCATGTAATTGTTGAAGAACCTCCTAAAGTTTTATACGAATCTGCAGTTAATATTACTCACATTATAAATACTGGAACTTTTAAGGACTTACTTTTTGAAATAGCTAGCAATCAATTTTTGGAGAGAAATGTTCTTGTTTTTGGCCGTGAGAAAAAAGATAGCAATTGGATATTGTTGCAAGACGGATTAACTGATTATTTGCAAGCATTAGTCCAGTTAAACTTTAAAATGGTCAAATTTTTACTTGAATCCATAACACACAAAAGATTTTGCCTTCATCTATTGATGCAATTTCTGTTTTAATGAATAATGCTAGCCAACTTTATTTGCCTAAAAAGTTAACATGAGGGAATAGCCGTGATCGTTTATATAATGAGCTTATTGATCTCTTTGAAGAAAAAGGTGTGGGATGGTTTAGTGGAATTCAAGATACTAAAGGCAAAATATTTATAGAGCATCTTTCAAGTGCTTTATAGTATATTGATCCGTATATTGAATTACTTCAAAGTCGTGCATGTCATATGCCCTCTTTATTTAAACAATTGGCAACTTACAAAGCTAAATCTCATTACAATACTTTTTATTTTACCTCTCATCATAAAAAAGAAAAACTTTCTCAACAAACATTAATTGAACATTGTAAATTGTTAGAATACAGTATGAGTGAAATATGGGCAAGTGAAAATTGCTGGGATGAAATTGTTCCTGAGGCTTTTAGTCTTACTACTGCAATGCGAAAATATGCAGAACATTTGCAAAAGTCTGCTCAACTTACCTATAATGCACGTCATTCTACTACAGTAGTTCGTACACCTAACAAAGATAGCAAATTAATAATAATTCCAGGAGTTTTAAATATTAACTCTAAATATAAAGCTTTAGAAATATTTTTTATTGAAAAAGATTTATATGAATTTATTGAAATTTCTGAATTTCTTCCTTCAGAAAGGGTTGAGCATCATCGATGGATTGTGGAATTAAGATTATCATTCCCTATTTGTTTATATAGGTAATCTTTTAATTATATATTTTTATCAACTTCAATTAAAATAATAAATATGTTTTTTATTTAGATATAATCAAGGAAACTATCTTGGCAGTATAAATTATACTTGGCAAATTATTGAACATGAATGCAATATTAATGAACATGAGACCCGTAATGCTCAAACATTTGCCGCAGTTAATAAAAAGATTCCACAGTATATAACAAGAGAAATGAGAAAAACCTTTATTAGTAAAGTAAATATATTAAAAATTTTATTAAAAAGATAATATTTTATTAAATTATACTTAATTATTTGTTTATTTATTTAGTACTCTCTAATAAAAACATTAAATCCAACTATTCTTAATATGTTACATCGAGATCTTACTGGTGATATGTCTGCTTGCAATACAAGCAGTAAAGATGTACAAGAACGATTACAATTAATGTTGGAACTTGAGGATTCTGATATTATCTTTGATTTTTGAACCAATAATGGTTTTAATGGAACTAAATTTAATTCCTTTTGGGAAGAATTACAAGCATTTTTTCATGAAGTAATTATTATAATTTTATAATTTATAAAAGTTATATTTTTAGGTATTAAAATATAATTATATTATATTTATAATTTAGAACACTCCAGCAGTAAATGATCGTAGACATGGGAATGTTTTATATATGCCATGGTTTATTTCTATAAGAGATCTTCAAAATTCTATTATTCAATGACTTATACTTCATTATGGAGATCCTCTTCTGTATACCAAGTTTAGAATGGATTTGATTACAGTTTTGGCCAGCAAATTCAACAACAAATCGTGCAATAAAACATACTGGAAAGTTTAAAATTAAATATAAAGTTCAAAGTTGACAGCTTAGGAAATCTCATCTGGATACACATTATTGTGCAGCTTATTTTCGTTATCTACGTGAATTTGCAATTTTATATCAAAATTATGTATGTTTTATTTCAGCTGATGATAAACATAAGATTTCAATTGGTGAAAAAGTTCCTACTTCTACTGGAGTTCGAAATAGGCCATCTCTAGTTCCATTAGATAGTGAGCTTTCTGCATGTGATCATGATTTTACCAAATTATCAATTACTTCTTCAGTTATTTTTTTTTGTGATATTCCAAATAATATTTCAGATTCATTTTACAATGGAGATGTTTATATAGGCTATAAATATACTGTATTTGAAAGTAGCAATGCAATTCGACATGCAGCAGAATTTTTTCAAGCAATTGATCAAAAATTTTCTAATGAAATACCACCAATTTTATGCATATATACAGATAGTGGTCCTGATCATAGAACAACCTTTGGATCTGTTCAAATTTCTCTTATTTCATTATTTCTTAAAAGAGATTTTGATATGCTTATAGCAATGAGAACGGCTCCTTATCATAGTTGGGCAAATCCTGCAAAAAGAATTATGTCTATTCTTAATCTAGAATTACAAAATGTTGCATTAGTACGTAATGAGTTTAATCGAGAATATGAAGAAATTTTTGAGCAATTAAATACTCTTGAAGATATTAGAAGAGTAGCCAATAATAATAGAAATTTACAAAGTGCAATTCAAAATAGTATTATTGATATCAAAAATATTTTATATGAACGAACTAAGAGGCTTGTTTTAAATAAAAACCCATTTAAATGTTATGACTCTGTTTTAAATATCGATATAGATGAATTGTATCAAGTTAAGTATTTAAATAATGCTAAATAAAATTAAACTTTGCAAAGTTTTGTTTTTTTAATGATATTTATTTTTCAAAAAATAATTACTTAAATTATAATATTTTATAATTTATAGGAAATTAATCGTATTGATAAAACTCTTCATATTAATGAAACTACTTGGTCAAGTTTAAGAAGACATGATAAATTAATGAAGTTTTTAAAATCTCATTGTCAGCAAAGATTATATTCATTTCAAATAAAGAAATGTTTGCAATTAAGTTGTAATTTCTGTAAGCCAGTCAAAATGCCGATTGAAGAATTTAATTCATTAAATTTTTTTTCTGATCCTGTACCATCAGAAGATGGTTTGTATAAATTTTTAAAAAATTTTATAAATGCATATTTTTAAATTTATGCAGAATTTGAATATGCATTTATAGTGAATACATTTATTAATTTTATTATATTATTTTTTAAAATACTTTAATATATTACAGATTTAAATCATTATGCATCTTTTAATTCTAAATATGGCACTGAAACTAATGAAAGCTATTGTCCATCTTTGTTATTAAATCAAGAAGAGCAAGAATGTGGTTCTAATGGTCTATATACATAAAAAAAATTTATGGATGGGTAGAATGTACAGCTTGTGGAAAATGGTGCTGTCTTTATAGTCAATATCTATTAAGTGAAGAAGAAGAATTCCAATGGCAAATAGCTCTTCAAAATAATCTATATACTTGTAGCAGACCTATTTTTGCAGAAGATCATCCATTATACAATAGTCTTTTTGTTCGTGAACGAATTTCTTGTAGCTCACCAATTAAAACAAACTATTATGCTTGTGAAAATGGTGATAAAGTTCAATTATGTTATTGGTATGGAACTAAGAATGATTTATTTGAATTACCAAAATCATTAACTAATCGATATAAAATAGTGTACCCATGCTGCAATGCATGTAAAGAATTAGGAAAAGATCATTTTACTCATTTAGAAATCAAAGTAGGTCAAAATAGTAAAAGAAAAAAATATGAATCTTAGATTTCTGAGTTGTTTAAAAACATAGGTTTAGATAAATGAATATGTTAAAATGATTTTATTATGTATTATTCTATATTATATCTATATATATAAATACCTCTTTTATCGCCTCTCTCTCCTTTACAACTTTCTATTTAACTAATGATATAAATTATTAAATTAAACTGATTTGGCCTAAGAATCTAGCAAATTACAAATTCCAATAAAAAACTGAACAAACATAAAGGATGAGAATGTTAAGCCAATAATTTCGGATTAAAAACTTTTTATTATAGCTGTTTTTATTATTCCTGGGACACCTATAAAAAATTAGCCAAAAAAAATTTTCGGCATAATCGGTATATAAAAAAATATATCTTTGAATTCGTTCAATTTTAATTTACTATAATATTGATATAATATCTTCATCATAAATTAAATATATTTTTGAATTCGTTCAATTTTTATTTACTGTAATATTGATGTAATATCTACGTCTAAATTACATTTTTGGTTCAAATTAAAAAATTACCATAATAAATATAATACCTGTTCTATGTACAAATAATTTTATTATTATAATATCAACGCTATTAAAATTTCGTTTAAACGCTTGCCCAATATGTTAGCATATTTAACTTGTGCGAAAGTTTATGTAAAAGATTGTTCTTGTCAACCAATAAAACTTGACAAGAAATATAAAAAGACTCCGAATATCAAATTAGCTTTTATAGTAAATATATCACATGAATAGGTACTAATATTAAAAAAGTTAAATACGATCAAGATTGGACTAAAAATTCAACTAAAGTCAAAATTCCAAAAGATTAAGACTTAATTAATATTTGTCAAAAATGTGGTAAAAATTATGATCAACACAATCAAAGCGAAACAGTAGATCTAACAATTAAAGAATCTTTATTTTACATGACAAATACTTTTGAGTTATTTGACTTGTTCGAAGTGAATGCAACTGATTCAGAAATTAATAGTAAAAAAGATCCTGAATTGGATATTAGATATTATTAACATGAAAGAGCCTGAATCAGGAGCTATTAATACAAAAGAGCCTTTTATAAAATGCTAAAAGTTTATAAAATAAAATTATGTGTAAATATAAGAAATATTACCTTTTTGTGCGTATATCCAAGTCTGTGTATAGCCCACCAAATTATTGTAAGACTAATGTTACATCCCAATCAAAGTTTCATCTCTGATTTACCAGTCAGGTTTTTCTTTCATTAAAACTTGAAGATAATTTATATTATTCATGTTTAAAGAACGTGGTTTTCCTGAAAGCAACCATATCTTTGAAAATGCGCAAGAACCCGACTTATAGAAGACCTGCTAACACCTAAGTGATTGCTATTTTTCGAGTTGAAAGGCCTTCTAAATTTTTTTCAATAATTTTCCAGTGAATGTGGTTTGAATATATCATATTTTTTGAATTCAACAAGAGATGTGCATAATTTTTTTATTTATATTACACCTGAATTTATTATTATGCGAAAATTTTTTTGAGATACATGCATAATTTAGTAAATTTGGCCGGAGAACTTAATGCCGGGTAAAATTAAGAATAGAAATTGCATTGCAAGGTTCTGAAACATTCCGAAGAGAAAATGAATGAACGAGCAAGGGAGCCCGATAATTTCTGACTGAAAAAAAATGGAAAAAAAATTTTAAAATGATTTATTATATATGTTCTGTTCCTCCCCCCTCTTTTGAGAAAGGAATGTAACGTAAACTACTGAATTAAATTGGTCTCGCCTTAATAGATGAATGGTGCCTTGTTCATGCTGCAGCGGGAGGTGTTGGTATAGTTACCGTTCAAATTGCAAAGGTGAATAATTCTAGGTTTGTTTATTTATGATATTAATTAATTTCCCAATCATTTTCTAAAAACTTTTTTACATAATAATACATATAATAAGGAGCTCGATGCCAAAGTAATTGCTACTTGTGGTTCAAATGATAAACTAGCTATTGCTAAAAAATTTGGTGCTGATTATGGTGTTAATTTTAAAGATAAAAATTTGCAAAAGCAAGTATTACAAATTACTGGTAAACGTGGAGTAGACGTTGTTTATGATCCTGTCGGATTAGTTCTAATGATGGGTGACGCAACCACGTGATGCTAATTGTCACATGTTTTTACTTATAAAAAATCAACATCAATTTTGATT